TTAAAAATAATAAGAAATGTTTTTTTGGGTGTTCAAAAATCGATGAGTAGAAAATTTTATTTTGTTTCACTTTATTGTCATGTTGACAGAAATGAAAACATGTAAACACTGGCAAAGAGAAAGGAAAATTGCTCCTTTTCCCCTTTTTATTCCAAGACTGTCAATTAGCCTACTGTCATGTGAAGAAGTTAGGACACCCTATAAGAGTCTGTGTGTTTTTCTAACTTATTAGGATACATGGATTAAGAAATGTTAACTTAAATAAAAAAAAAAATCTTTTAAAATTACTTAAAATAAATAAACAAAACCTCCTTTTGGTAAAGAATAGCTTAGGACATAACTATATTTAATTCCAGCAGGCTCGGATTACACAGAGATGTATTGACATGGTTAGAAAGTCATTATTCAGGATGTTGAAGAAGGTTTACCCTAAAGGCTAGATCTTGATCTCACTGAGATGCTGTGGGGTGACATAAAGTGGACTGTACATGCAAGAAACCCATCAAACATCTAACAGCTGAAAGTGAGAAGCAGCCAAACGTTGCTTTTCGACGTTTGGCTGCTTCGACCGTTGTCAAAGGCTGATGGATGGCTATAGGAAGAGTAGTGAAGCTGTTTTAGCCAAAGGGCCAAACAATTGCTACTAAGGGGTAGGGTGTCTTATCTTCCTTTCCAGCTAGAAAATGCATATTTTGTTGTGCCTTTAAATCACTTCAAAGAACTGAATATTTATTGTGGTGTCTTAACATTTTAAAATAGTAACTGCATAACTGCTAGGAGATCTTTTTTTTTTTTTTTCAGCGTGTTGTCCCACATTTACACCTCAACAAAAATAGAGATTTTTATTAGTTTGGACAAAGATAAGAATAAAAAAAAAAAGAAGTAAAATCTTTTATCACAAATGAGTCTGATGTTTAACACTCTATCATTTATGAGTGATGCAGCAAACCATGTACTTAAGAGGCTCATGTTGAGGTACAAAGGGTATCAGAATACAGAAAAATTTACCATTATTATTATTATTTTAAAGGATCTTTGGCACTAGTGACCTTTATTCATCACTAGCTGAAGTAGGAAATAGGGCAGAGAAAAGAATGGGAAGACATGCAGTAAATTGCCCAGGGACGGGAATCGAACCCAGGACAGCTGCGTAGAGGACTGAGGTCTCAGCTCACGGAGAACTTGCTCTACCACTGAATTGTGTGAGACACCAAAGATGACAGCTTCTTATTTCTCTCTGAGAAGCTTTTGTTATTAAAAAATGTCAGGAAAACTAAATAAACTTTGAATTTCTGCTAACTGATGTTCCAGAAAAATAAAACTGTATTTAATGTATCATTCCTCATTTTAAAACAGATATATAACTTACTTTGCTTCTTTAAATATTCATTTCTGGGGAGAAATCCATTTATAAAGCATGAACTGTTCTACCATAACCCGTCCCTCCCGGTCGCAGAATATCTTTCTATTCATCATGTGCATATTCCCTCATATCGTCCAACTATTCTCTATTTTCCTGTAACAGTTTTCCATCATCGCTCACATTAAAAAGCTTCTAAGAGCTTCCCTCCCTTTAGTTTTCCTTTCTTTCATCAGGCTCCATCCATTCCTCTGCTTTCATCCCAGCTACAAAGACTCGTTCCTCATTTTTTCCTTTTCCAAAAAAATTGCCATAATTTCTACAACTCCAGTTAATTATCTTTTTTTTCCTACCTGGAGAAACCATTAACAGGTTTAAACAGATTTGGATGTAATTTGTTGTGGAGGAAAGATATGTTTTCAAATGCTTACACTCTTAAGTGGTTTTCGGCAGTATATGGACTAAACCTTTAGTTAGAGATGCAATGTCACTTGAGACCTACTTAAGATGCTACTAGGAACGCACTGTTGTTGAACAAAAAAAAGAAAAAAAAAGAAAGTTAATTCGAGTTAAATGTAGCTGCTAGAGAAAATGTCAACTGAAACGTCTGAAAGTAGGCAGAATGGTACTTCACAAATACTCACGATGCACGTATACTGACACACACAAACACTCACACCACATGGCACAACTAATGGAGGTGAGAATAAGAGGAAAAAAGAGAGAGAAATGCAGCTCAAACACAGCAGGATCTATCCACAAACCCACGCAGTCCAAACCAGTGTGTTCCTTTCCCCGCCACCCACAGACACTAGCTACTTGAACAGACACTAGCAGCATTTCTTTAAATTATTTGCTTTCAGAAACAAAACCTCTGACAGCATCTCAAAAAGAGATTTGATCAAAGAAGTTTCACTAAGAATGAAGACCACAATACCAACGCTAATGATCATAGTGGCATAACTAAACTTAATAGAGTTGCTTTTCTTGAACTACAAACCTGCTTGATATATTGTTGCTTTCCTTTAAAGCTGCAGCACTTTTATATAAAAGAAGGCTCCAGTTAAAGGTCAATTTTAAATTGAAATGAATTGTTAAGCATTTTGCATATGATTTCCTTTTTTGTTTGGTTTTTGCTTTGATCTGACGTTTCCCAATGTTTTTCAGTTAAAATTTCTGTTCAAGAACCATGATGAGAGCAGCATTGTGAGGATGTGTTCTTGCTTTCCTGCTCTGAGTGCTCATTAAAGGGAGGGAGGGAAGGGAGAGCATTATGTATTTTCCAAAAAAAAAAAAAAAAAAAAAAAAGGATTTTAGAGATTCCAACAGGACTGTTTTAGATGGTTGTGATTTACTGGACAGCAATAATATTTAGACTGTTGCTGATTTCAAATAGAGACTTCAGTGTTAAAAGCCAAAGTGGAAAATGGAACAACATTTTATTTAGGTCTAAAAACACCACCACATTTGTGTATATCACCCACAAATGCTGTTACTATGCTCAGCACACCTCTGTAATCAAGCCTGAAACTGAGTGGCACTTCACCTGATCCCTCAGGAGCAAACACAAAAACAAATACATCTGGCAGGAGTCCCACAGGTTCAGATAGGTCAAGTACTGTGAGAGGGGTGGTGCCGTAGAAGTGTTTTTCTTTGAAATAGTTAGCCTCTGCTGATGGCATGAAGTAGGACAGCAATGTACATGGCCTGCACAGCAGCCTTAAAACATTGTGGAGTGGGACAAGAGGCCGAAGGCTATTTTGGATAACAATGTTATATAACATTTTAAAATGTTATATAAAATGATAGCATTTTATATAAACCAAAAATGTTATCATGTTTTTGTTTTTTTATTTTGCTGCGATAATGAAAAGAAGAACAAAAACTTCAATTCAAAAATGCATCACAGCTCTTTTGGCTACATGTCGACTACTGCATGCAGCAAGAGCCTTGCAATCAACAATGAGTGCTCTAAAAATAAAACCTGAACATTACCAAATAGGCTGCTCCAGTAGAGGAGTTACAGGAAGCTGTGCCACTGTACTGCTAAACAATGAACAATTATTTTACTCAACCATATTTTAAAATACATCAGTATTTATGACATCAACACTTGAAAATGTTTAGCTAAGTTAGCAATCCTAAACAAATGTTCAGTTTTGGAAGTGTGCAAACATTGTTGAAATTTAGAATTATCACAATAAATGACTTTTATTAAGATACTCACCTCCAATAACAAACAGTACTTACCCATCCCTAATTCACATAATTCAAGTCAGTGATTACATGGACACATACACAACATGTACATTGAGTATTATATTATAATACATGAATTAAAAGTAAGTAACGTTTTCACAAAAATGTGAAAAAGGATTCGTATGTTTAAGCCTCTATAAGCTCAGGCAAATAGCAACATAAAATACTCCCAATCAAATTTTAATGGGAACATAAAGAGTTTGTGGTTGGACTTACACCTATAAAATTTGTGTGGTCTGAGCAAAACCTGTAACAAATAAACATGAGTGTATATGTGTATGGGAGTTGTATTATTGATGCAAGTATTTGGCGAATGAAACCACAAACTTTGAAACAGAGGGCCTTGGTGCGTTGACCTTAATCTAGGCTATATAATTCACACAACAGTTTGCAAAGCTACAAGAAGAAACAAAAGGACCTTATGCATGACAACGGCCCGAGCAGAGACCCTGGCAGAAGATGGACAAGGGGACTAATAGATGAGAGGGGGTGAAAGGCCATACCCTGAATTGCCTCAACAGATGGTAAAGGGAAGAGTGTGTAAAACAAAATGTGTATGCGTGAGCAGGCATGAATTATAAAACATAAAACAACTTCTGAGTGACATGTAAGGAAAGCTGCGCCACTGCAGATAGTGAAGTGGGGAGACTTCAAAAGGCAGCCAGAAAGAGGAAGATAGATATTCTAGTGATGTGGAGATCAAAACTTTGGAAGGAAAAAAAGAGATAATTTGGCTGCTAGTTTTATTGGCAGAATGATTGACAAACATAGTTTGATGGACACTCAAAGATGTACGGTAGAGTTTACACGAAGCCCATCTTAGTTGTAAGCACAGAGAAAAAAACACTGAGTCGGATACAACCAGAAGATAGAACCAACCACACTCTAAGAAATGGCTGTAAATTTACGGCGAAATTCCAGCAGTAACATACTGTTATTCCAAAATACAGTAGGATATTATCAATTTGATGTTTTCTTCTGTTGTCATAATCAAGACTGACGACTGGCAGTTAACTACCGCAAAATAATTGTACAATACAGCTTTTTTCCTAGGCAAGACATTTTACTTGTATTTGCATCTTAGAGAACCAGCATTTAAAGACAATATTAAATGGAAAGACAAAAATTCTTTCCATAATAAATCTTTTTAGGGAATGAATCGAAATCTACAGAGCATAATCAAAAGTGTTAGATTACCAGTGTTGGTGTGGTATGTTAAAAATACAATGTTAATTAAACACTTTAGTCAAATTCAAAGATATATCTTTGAATCTGAACACTGACAACTGTCAGTTTCCCTAAAGAGATGTTTATATAAGCTGACTAATTTCTATAATGCCTAATGTCTGAGTTGTGTTCATTTTTATGCTTTATGTTGTAGGTGGTGAAAAATGCTCTCCAGGATAAACCGAGTGGACAAAGCATTTTGAATGACTGTGGTGGTGATACACACACAGGTGGGTCTGGCTAGTTTTGCTCACACTTCTCTTTAAAATGTTTATTTATTATCCTAATGTGTCTGCTATTTATCCTGTTGTTCTGCCAGGCTGGCAAAACCAGGCATTCTTCTATTGGTTAATGTGCTTCGTCCTACATCCAAAGGTACAGCAGCTACAGACGCCAGTATTTTACCGTTCTTTCGAAAGAACGGTAAAATACTGGCAGCTATAGACGCCAGAAGTTTACCGTTCTTTCACAGTATCTATACCATACTTGCTTTGACGGTAATCTACTGTCAGGATTAATTATGGTACAGCTACTGTGCATTTACAGTAAACTTCTGGCATCTATAGCTGCCAGTATTGGACTGTAAATTTACAGGATTATTTCTTAGAGTGCACGTACGAAAGGATCATCATGCCATACTACATGCAGGAGGAAAGACTAACAATATTCAAGAAAAGAGTGAGCCGTAAGTTAGTGGAAGTCAGTGACGTGCGGTCAGGGGAGGCAGGTGAGGCAGAGCCTCACCTGTCATCATGGAAAAATAATATATAATAAT